ATGCCTTTAATTTCTTTCTCTTGTCTTATTGCTGTTGCTAGGATTTCCAGAATTATATCAAATAATAGTGGGGAGAGTGGCCTTCTTTGCTTCTCTACTGTATTTTTGGGAAAAGGTTCTAAGATGTCCTCATTGAATAGGATCCTTGCTTTTGGTTTTAGGTAGATACTTTTCATGATATTAAAAAAGGGTCCCTCTATACCTATACTTTGTAGCCTTCTTAGTATAAAGGAATATGATACTTTGTCAAAGGCTTTTAAAAATATCCATTAAGATAATCACATGGTTTAGGATGTTTTAATTTTTAATATGATTAATTATATTGATTGTTTTCCTAATGAGGAACCATCCTTGAATCCTTGGCATAAATCCCACTTGGTTATACTGAAAGATTTCATGAATAAATTGCTTTGCAGTCTGTTTGACAGGACTTGGTTTAAAATTTTTAAGTCAATGTCCATTAATGATATCGGTCTAGAGTTTTCTTTCTGTGTTTTGTCTGTTCCTGGCTTAAGTATTAGGACTATATTTGTCTTATAAAAGGATTTTGGTAGGTTACTTTCTTTATCAACTTTGAGAATAATTTGTTAAGTATGAGTAATAATTGTTTTGCTTTGTTTTGTTTTTTAAGTGTGATAGAATTGTCCTGTGAATCCATTAGGACCAGACATTTTTCCCTTTGGCATTTCCTTTGTAGCTAGATCTAGTTCCTTTTTTCAGACTGGATTATTTAAGATCTCAATCTTGTCTTCTAATGATTTGGATGTTTTATGTCTTTTACGATATTCCTCTACTTATTGTGTGCTCTCAATGTTGTTAGCTTATAATTGTGCATGTTTTGATTATTCTTTTTATTTCTTCTCATTTTTCTATGACTTTACCTTGCTTATCGGTTATTTTATTTTGTGCCTGTTTTAGGTTTGTTTATTTGTTGGCTTTCTAATTTTACAAAAATGCACATTTAATTCATTAATTCTCTCTTTTAATGGATGCTTGTGAGGACATATTTTTTCCCTTGAGGACTACTTTAGCTGCATCTCAGAAATTTTGGTATGTTATTTCATAATTATAATTTTCTTTTAATAATTATTAATTGTTTCAATGATTTGATCTTTGACCCACTCATTATTTACTGTTTCATTATTAAGTCTCTATTTGGGTCTGTATTTTTGTCTGTAGTCCCTCAACCAATCACCATTTTGATTACATTATGGCTTATAAAGGTTGTCTGAACTTCATCTATGTTTTCACATTTTTAGAAATATCTCTGTGCCCTAGTACATGTTAAAAAAAATGGTTTTGGTGAGGCAATCAGAGTGAAGTGACTTGCCTAGAGTCACACAGCTAGTGAGTATCATGTGTCTGAGGCTAGATTTGAACTCAGATCTTCCTGAATCCAGGGCCGGTGCTCTATCCACATCACCACCTAGCTGCCCCTACATATTCAATTTTTATAAAAATTTCATATTATGTTGAGAAATATGTATATTTTTTACTGTCTCATTTAGAAGACACCCTAAGTTTTTTAACTCTAATCCAGAGTTTGTTCAGATTTGTATTTTCCCTTTTGTTTATCGTTCTTTTAGATTATTATGTTACTGTTTATGTCTTCTTGTAGCTTAGATAATGTTTCCTTTGAGAATTTGGATGCTAAGATATTTGGAGTAAATAAGTTTTTATTGATATTGGTTTGTTATCTATGGTTCCTTTCAGCATAATATAGTTTCCTTGTTTATCCCTTTTTACTTTTTGAATGTTTGTTTTTGCTTTTTTTTTTTCAAATAGCATGATTAAGACTCTTACTTTTTTGGATTCACTGATGCATGCAACTTGTTTTATATCCCCTCAGTTTTATTTTGCATATGTCTTCATTTTAAAAAATGTTTTCTCTAAGTAACAGATTGTACTGTTTTGTTTTCTTATTCAATCTCTCACTCTTTTTCATTTATTGGATTGTTTAATCCATTCACACTTAAAGTTATGAGAATCAAGCTTGTATTTTCTCTCCATCTGTCTCTAATATTGGTATTTTTTCAAGTTGTGCTTTTCCCTCTCTTCTGCTATAAACACAGTACTATGTTCCTTTAATTACTTTACCTGTTTCCACTGGCTCTCTTCCCTTTAACCCTGAGCTGCTCTCATTTGTTACCTCTTTCCCTTAGAGGTTTTCCTTTTGGGGTTCTTTTTTCTCTCCTGTTTTTATCTGATTTTATAATTCTTCCTCTTATTTTTTCCTCTCAGTTAGTCAAATATATTCCCCCTTCTCCTCCCTTTCAACTAGTTCTGATCATTCAGTTCTTAAAATTTTATTTTTGTGCTCCTTTCCAAAAGGAATTTCTCTCACTCTTCATTATCCATCCTCTCTTTCTGTCTACTCTAGACTCTCATTCTCTGATTCATGAATAATTATCTGGTCTCTCTCTTTTCTCTAATTTCCTCATGCAATCAAAGCTTTCGTGGTATCCACTCTAGGCTCTCTCCTTTAGACACTTTCTGCCACTGCCTTGTAGAGTTTACCATGTGGATTTTCCTTTTCCATTGTGCCCAGCTCCTATTAATTAATTGCAATTAATTAAGTGCAGGTGTCAGAGAGGATGGTGTCCCATAGTAGGATCCCTCCCCCACCACATCCCTGATAATGCAGCCCACCATTGCTCTATACCCCCTGTTAGTTACTCCCTACCCCATGTCTTTCCCTTCCTTTTCAATCCTTCCCCTTTCTCCTCACCCATTCCCTTGTAAGTACTTGTCTTTCTGAGACAAAGGGGGTCACCTCCTTATTGCTAACCTTTGATTTGACCCTAGCATATCACACATTACTCTTTATCTCTCTGCTCCCCTCCACCCCTTTCATGTGTCCTTTTGTATTATAATATAGTCCCACCAAAAGAAAACAACAACAAAAAAAAAACATTGATTCATTTGTAGGCACAATATCACCAGGTTCTGTCCCTAATGCCCCAAGCTCACCTCCTCACTCTTACCTCCACCAGACTTCCTCCCTCTCCTATGTTTCCTTGTATATATTTAGGAAAAAAATGTTTATTTTGCTGTCATTTTGTTGCTGTTGATGTCCTTGGGTGCTGCATTTTTTTCACTGCATTTCTGTTGTTTGAGGTATTCTAGAGGCAAATAATCTCTTCAGTTCTCATTTTCTTTCTAAAAATGTTTCAAATGACTGTTCTTGAATGTCCATCTATTTTCATGCATGGTTAAGCTCAGATTCACAGGGTGGGTCACCCTGGGTTGCCTCCTGAGCTCCATTGCTCTTTGGAACACATTATGTCATTCCCTCCTATGTTTTCAGTACGTGCTGCATAGTCTTATTTTATTCAAATTTCCTTTCCTTTGCATTTGAAGGTCTTTCTCCTGATTGCTTGCAGAACTTGTCATTTCTGTACAGAATTATTTAATTTGACTACCATGTGTCTTGGAGTTTGCAGCTTTGAATTTTCCCTAGAAGTGATCTATGAATTCTTTCAATTAACATTTCATTTTCTTGATTCAGAAGTTCTGAGCAGCTCTGTTCTATTATTTTCCGCATTATGGTGGTAAGGTTTTTTGTCCTATTGTGTTCTTCGGAGATCCTTAGGTTGTCTCTATTCATTCTATCATCAAGATCAGTATGTTTTGCTTGTACACTAAGCATATTTTCTTTTAATTTTTTTTTGCTTCTTTTTTTCTAGATTGTCCTTCGCTTCTGTATATTTGCATTCCCAATCTATTCTTCTTTCTTTTGTTTCTTTGGTGAGTTGTCATCACAGATTCCATTTTCTATTCTGCCCATTATTTGTGCTGTGCAGATAAATAAATCTGCTCTCATAATTCTCATTTCTCTTTTGAACCACTCCAGAACAACATATTGTGGTTCTACATTCTCCTCAATTTCCACAAGGTCCTCTGTCTCGTCAAGTGTTGACTCATTTCCCTTCATTTTGCAGTATTTATCCATGGACACCTAAACTCCCACACTAGATCTGGAGTCCTTATTTCCTTCTGCTATTAAGATTTTCCATTAACTTACCTGCTTATATTCAATGTCTTTGAGTTTTGTTCTTCCTGAAATCTTTGGTAATTTCAGTATTTTCCCTCCTTTCTTAATTTTTCTCTATTCACTTTTTGACTTGTTCCTTTCTGACGGTGCCTATATCTCAAAGTGTCTCAGCCTCCTTCCACAGTGGGCAAATCATAGCTCACCAGCCTAGGTCTCTCTCTACCTTAAGTGATTTCTGAGTGGTAAGGCTCCAGCTGGATGCTGTGTTCTTTCCCTCAGAGTTGTACACTCTCCCTCCACTCTACCCCACCCCAACCTCATACAGTGTTCTATCCCAATCCCTCTGTGTCTTGCTTCTCTGGCTCAGCACCAGCACTGGTGCTACAGGACTGTGGCCACTGGCTATTTGTCAAGGTCTGTTCCACAGCCTGGAGCCAGGATTTCAATGGTATTGAAGGAGGGAAGAGGGACCTAGTGTGGGCCTTGGTTTTATTGTAAGCCTGTGTGCAGTCCTTGGGTTTGCTAGTACAGCCTTGCTACCCATAGGGTGGAAGGTAAAGTAGGGGTGATGAGTAAGCTCAGGGACAGTGAGCCTCAGTTCATGGGTTATTTTTCTACCTTTTTTTGAATTTTGGATATCCTAGACCATGGATACAGCTATAACTTCCACAGGGTCCTCTGATGCATATCTTTGGTGCAGAATTTCTGTTTTGGAAAGATTTGAGAGGTCTTGAGGATCAAAAAAAATGTCTAATTCTCCATCTCATGTGATCCAGAAGTTTGTGAATATTACTTGAAAATAAAAGGAAGTCACTGGTGCAGACTTGGAAATATTTTTGTTATATAGGTATTTCCTTATAATGGCATTGGACCAATGGTCATGAAAAACAACTCCTAATAGGAGTTAGCCAAAATATTCCTCATTTTTATGGCATAAAGTCATAGACTTTGAGCAGGAAGAGCCTTTAGAGGCCATCAACACAACCCCCTCATTTTACAGATGAAGAAATAAATTGCTCAAGATCACACAGGTAGTAAATGCCAACACCAGAATTTGAATCTGGATCCTCACATCTCACATGCAGTACATTTGCAGCTAACAAGGTGAGTAGCAGCTGCTTAGCTTCTTCTCCCCCCCACCCCAAGCCCTTTTCTCTTTGACATCTGTACCCAGAAACAAAGGAAATATGTAGGATAATATTTAAGCAAATTAATGGGTGTCTGAGCCAGCCAGTTTGGGAAGAGCCCAGGAGATGCTTAAGGCGGAGCAGAGGCTAACACAGTTGTGGAAATCATTTTCCCAAGGTGGACCAGCGTGTTCGCAGAGACAGGGGTGACTCTGTCCAGAGGGAGGGATTGGTCTACTGGGAATGACAACAAGCATACACCAGGCCTCTCAGCTGCCCCCTTCCTCCACCTCACAAACTTCCCATATTCCCCCTCCTCCCCATAATTCCCTCTCAAGCTTTGTTTTCACTTGGGGTCTAGGAACACAAGGGAAGCCACAAATCAGTTGGGAGGAAGTGGAATTAGAAGATAGAACCATAGGATCCTACTTTTGGAGCCAGACAGGAAACCCCTCATTTTACAAATGAAGAAACTGAGGCCCACTGAGTGTAAGTGACTTGACCAAGGTCACACAGAGGCAGAGTTGGAACCCAAGCCACAGAATCATAATTCTAGAGCTAGAAGGACCTCAGAGGCCATTTAATCTTCTGTGTCCATTTTACAGATGGGGAAAGTGAGGTCTAGAGAGGGGTTATAACTTAGAATCATTGGCTCCTAGGTTTAGAGTTAGGAGACAGTTCAGCAGTCATGTCGTCCAACCTGCTTAATATAGAGGAGAAAAACCGACATGCAGAAAGGAAGAAAGTTGACCAAGGTCACACCAGGCTGAGAGCCATCAGGGCTGTGGGGTCGCAGGTTAAGAGTTGGGGGGAGCCATAGAGGCTTTCAAATTTAATCATCCCATTTTACTGAAGAAGAAATTGAGGCCCAGAGAGCCTTTGCTCATTTTCATCCAACTGAGCATCTGAGCTGGAACAACAAACAGCCTATAGGCCTGAAATCCAATGTGGGCTGTTTTCTCGGTAGATGTTGGAGGAAAGCTTTGAGAAAGCAAATCGAACAGGTGGTGAGGGAAAATGTTGGAGCCAGAGTTTTCATGGTGATTAATACATACGGTAGCTTTTCTTTATCTGGGCAAATGGAGTTGAACAGGCCATTTTGAATGGCGGATAACCCCCAAGTCATCGCTGGTTGGCTTTGCGGTTCAGCTCACCCCAGCAGAGGTACCTCCCTAATACTATTTGACCATGGCTCATGAGGCAGCCTTTCTTTTGCTGCCTGAACCTATCTGCGGATGACCGATGGGAAGCCGGTCAGAAGGTGGATGGATGGGGAGGGAACACTGACCCGGGACCCAACCTTGGCTGAAGAAAATCACTGCCCAGCAACCACTGGTACTCAGCCTTTTCTACACAGAGAGATGTGTCCATCAGGTAACCTAGCACTTTGGGGTTGACAAAATATTTTGTAGATGTTGAATTTCATGTGCCCCACGGTAACCCTTCCTGGCCTAATGGACTAGCCTTGTGGTCAGAAAGACCTGGGTTCAACTCCTGACTATAGCACACACTAGCTGAGTGACCCTGGGAAAGTCACTTACCTTCTCAAGGCTCTAAGTAACTCTATAAGACTGTAGGCTGTAGAACAAATTGCTAAAGGGATCAATGAAAACACAGGTTTAGACCAAAAAGCGACCAACCCTATGAGGCTGCTATGACAGCAATTAGTCTGATTATTCTAACCTCCCAATAGCTTTGTCTTTAATCTATACTGATTTAAGACCATGAAGAGAGGGAGAAAGGACATCAGAGACCATCTAGACCAATCTCTCCATTTGAATAATAATTAGTAATAATATTTATTATTTACATCTAATAATTAATAATAGCTACCATTTCTATAGCACTTGCTATGTGCCAGACATTGTGCTTTACAATTATTATCTCGTTTGATTCTCACAAGAACCCTGGGTGGTGGAGGTGCTATTATTATCCTCGTTTTACAGATCAGGAAACTGAGGCAAACCGTTTAAATGACTTGCCCAGGGTCATACAGCTATTGTGAGTCTAAGGTATGATTTGAACTTGAGACTTCCTGACTCCAGGCCCAGAGTTCTTTCCAGCACACCATCTGGCTATGGAGGAAACACTTACAATTTCACAAAGGAGGAAAAAACTGAGGCCATAGAAAGAAAGTGACTTGTCTGAGGTCACACAGGTAGTAAGAATCCAAGGCAGAGTTTGAGCCTATGTTCAAGGGAAGAGACCTCAACAGCCATCTAATCCAATCCTTTCATTTTACAGATGAGGAAACTGAGGCCTAGGAAGCATTGAGAAAAGTGCCCAAGGCTGCAGAGGTCATCGGCATCTGAGATGGGATTCCAATCTACATCTCCTCTCCACTTTAACAAGCTGCCTCCTTGCTTGTCTGGGTCCATGTTAATTCCTCCCGGTAGAGCAGATGTTCTTAAATTTATTGGGGTCACAGATGTCTGATCAAGCCTATGGACCCCTTCTCAAAACCATATTTTGAATGAAGAAAATAAAATGCAGGGTGTCTCAAAAGTCTTAGACCAGTTTGAAGCTGTAAGAGTTTAGACCTGTATTAAGACTTTTGGTGACACCCTGTACATAGGAGGACGAAGGAAACCAGTTATGTGAAACTGTGTGATTTTTTTTTCCCCTCTTGCAAGTTCCTGGATCCTCCAGAATCTCTCCAGGGAGGTTTGGGGACCACAGGTTAAGAACCCCTACAGTAGAATGTCAGCTCCTGGAGGGCAGGGACTGTTTTAATTTTAATTTTTTTTTAATAGATTAGTAGTATAATCTTTGTATTTGAAGGACTGTATTTTATTTATTCATTCACTCACTCATTTACTTATTTATTTGTTTGTTCATTTATTTATTTATTTATTTAGGCAATTGGAGTTAGGTGACTTGCCCAGGGTCACACAGCTAGGCCTTGCTGAATCCAGATTTGAACTCAGGCCTGGTGCTCTATCCACTGTGCCACCTAGCTGCTTGGATACATAGTAAGCGCTTAATAAACGTTTTCTCTCTCTCCATCTAGGAATTATCTACATAGAGATGATATTTAACCCAGTAGTATCTCCATGTCAAACTCTCCAAGCTCTATCTCTACTGTGCCACTTTAAAACACTTAGAAGCTGTATGCTACTGAGGACAATACTCAGCCTCTCATATCCTCAGTTTCCTCAAATGTAAAATGGGGAATCCCAGTTCTTTTCTTAGCTGCCATACTGGATTGTCATGAGAAATACACTTTGCTGGCCCCAAAGACCTATGGAAATGCATTTGTATATAGCAGGCATTTAATAATTGTGTGTTGAATTGAATTTGATTGTCTGGGCCGCCCGGAGGTAGCACCCTGCCCCTCCCCATCACCCTATCCCGTCAAGCTGCTCTGTCAGACGGGGTGATTGTTGATCTGCTGCTGGCCCGGAGCACTGTTTCCCATGTTTTACCAAATCGCCTGATACAGCAATAACTCAACTTTATTGATTGTGTCAAAAGCAGTAATTCAGGAAAGCTATTTAAATTCACGGGAGGAAGTGTGAGCAATTATAAGTGTCTACAGAAAATTATTCATCATTTCTCTTATTGGCTATTGAGCTTGGAGACAGACATTTTATGGAAGGCCGACGTGATGGTGAGGGAGCTGGTAATGACTTGGGTCTAACTCCCCGATTGGTGTGCAGCGAGGAAAAAATAATCAGCACTTCGGCTAATATAAATCTATATGCATAAAGCATTATAGGGTATCACTGGAGGAGTGTGTAAGCGACTGGTGGTTTAAATTCATTTTGTACTTAATCCCAACGAAATCCACCCGGTCTATGCCTGCATCCCCTATTTCAGCCCATAATAACATTGTGATTTGTGATGAGGCAGGTGATTTTTTTGCAGTATTTCCCTGTAGTTAAACTTTAATGAAAGCTTAAATCAAGGCTCAAGTCTAGTGGCTGACAAGCAGATGAGGCCCCAGCAGGTTGCAGATGAATGAGAGCTGGCTGGGATGGGTTGGAGGGGCAGAGGAAGGAAATGGTGTGTTAGGGAGTGGTGGGGAAAAAATTGCTGTGAAAACAAACAAAAATGGATCGCCTAATGATCAACCTTTTGGTGCAAAGCATCTCTGAACTCAGCTAAAGTAGTCCTGGAAGGGTAAACTTAGACTTAGAGGCTGCTGAGTTCAACTCTCCCATTTTACAGATGAGTAGACTGAGGCTAAGAAGGGGGAAATGACTTAGCCAAGATCATAGACTTGGAGTTGATCATCTAATCCGACATGGTCCTCCTACTTCTAACTCATAAGATATTGGGAAAATTACCCTTTCTGAGCCTCAGTTTCCTCATCCATAAAATGAAGCAGCTGGAGCAGATAACTTGTGAGGTCCCTTCAAGCTCTAACTTCACGATACTCTGTGACCTCCCTCATTTTATAGTCACACAGGTGATTACACACCCATCTTCCCCCACCCCCTAAAGCCAGCCAATCTTGTACTTAGGTCAGGAAGACCTGAGCTCAAAGCCACCCTCAGACGCTTACTAACTGTGTGTCTCTGAGCAGGTCCCTTAACCCCTGCCTGCCTCAGTGTCCCCATATGTAAAATGGGGGTAATAATAGCAGCTCCCTCCCAGAGTTGTCGTGGGGATCAAATGTGAAGATATTCATAAAACTCATTGCAAACTTTAAAGTGCTAGCTCTCACTCATCATCATTATTATCAATCAACCAGTGTCCTGTGTCAGACGAATGGTATATAATAAGTTTCCAGCAGTTCAGAGCAAGGAATAATTCATTGCCAAAGGCTGGACCAGTCTGGAAAGGCTTCAAAGCAAAAGTGACATTTGAGCTCAGTTTTGAAGGAAGAGTCAGGTTTGGATAAATGAGAAATGAGGGAAGGCTTCCAGCAGAGGGGCACAGCATGAAGGTGGGAGACCAGGAATGCACACGATGTGTTCAGAAGAGAGAGCCAGGCCTGTTGGACCAGAGGGTTCATTTCCCATAAGGCCACAGTGGGAATCAAGGTGGAGCAGGTGGGTTAGAAATAGGTCATGGAAGACATCGGATGCCAGGATGAGGAGTTTGGACTCTATCCTGCAGGGAGGGAGGATACACTGCTAGGAAACAAGGAACCTTTCTGAAGCAGTGCTTTGCACATATCCCTCTCATAGCCAATCATCGTAACTCACCTTTCTGTGGCCCTCCAAGGATAACAAAGTTCTTTCTTAACAAGCTTGTAGGGCAGGTTATGCAAATAACTTCATCCCTCCTCTACCATGTGGACCTGGGGACTGTGTGTCTTCCATCTGTGTGCTGGCTATCTGCAGGGGGGGGGCAGTGGGATTTTTTGACCACAACAGTATGGAAGGCCATTAGCAGAATACAGCGGGAAGCAGTTATCACAGAGCGCTGGGTCGGGAGCCAGGGGTTCACATCTCCTCTCTGGCTCTTTGTGTGACCCCCAAGTGAGTCACTTCCTCTCCTGGGACCTCATCTATAAAATGATGGCATGGACTAGATTATCTGAGTCTCTGGCTCTAAATCTGTGCTCCTAGGATATGAAGTCACTTGATTTCTTGCAATTTCTCCATCTGTAAAATGGAAGAAGAGTTGGGCTAGATGGTGTCTGAGGGATCTTCTGTCTCTAAATCTGAGATCCTATAATCAATTATTTAACCTCTCTAGGCAGGCCTCAGTTTCCCCATCTGTAGAATGAATGGGGGGCGGGGTGGATTACATGGCCTCCAAGATCACTTGTCTCTATCATCCTCTGACTTTCAGGGTTTCTTCTGTTGATGAATCTATGATCCAATACGTCATGCTCACGCCCCAACCTACCTTTCCAGCCTCGTCTAATGCTACTCCCCAGTACATAGCCTATGCTCCAGAAGACTTCAAAATTCCTTAACCATGTTTCTCCTTCCACCATAACATACACATAAACTGGAAGAAGGTGTTGGTGAGATCATTGCCCTCTGAAATATCACTGCTCCGTAGAGAACTGTTGAGTAGCCCAGTGAAGAGTCTTGGACCTGGCGTCAGGAGGAGCTGTGTTCAAATCCTTATGATAACCATATGTGTGAAAGTGACTTCTCAGAGTTTCAATTTCCTCATCTGTGAAAATCAACAATGCCTGCAGTGCCTAATTCTCTATTGGCATGACTGTCACTTAGATGACTGAGTTTCAGATGAGTGGCCGGTTGGCATTGGTTTAAATAGTTCAAATGCTGGGAGCTGCTGGCAGTGATGAAATTCTGGACCTGGACAAAAAATGGTTCAAAGTTCATACATCAATGAGGTTTTCTTGAAGCTCAAATAAGATCAGAGAGGTAGAGTGTTTCAGAAACCTTAATTCTCATATATGTAGAGCCTATATCAAATTGCATGCCCTCTTGGGGTGGGGAGAGGGGAGAGATGGGGAGAAAATTTGGAACTCAAAATCGTATGGAAGTGAATGTTGAAAACCAAATATAAATAAATAAATTTTAATAAAAGAAAGAAACCTTAATTCTCCAGCTGAGAGAGTACCAAGGTGAGAAGGCGCCAGGGCACAGTGAGTAAGAGCTTACCTCATAGTCAGGAAGACCTGGGTTCAATTCTCACCTCTGACCCATTTTGGCTGTGTGACCCTAGGCAAGTAGCTTAACCTCCCAGGATCCCAGGTGACTACAGGTCATAGAATAGTTTCTGGACTAAAGTAAAAGAAAACTGCAATGAATACATGATGTCACTAATGCCAGTTTCCTCCAATGAAACGAATAGTGACTCATCCATGCCTGTGGAAGAATACTCTGTGTCCTCATCCATATCCTCCCATGAGGAGGCTCACCTAAAGTAGAATTTGAATTCAGGTCTTCTTGAATCCAATTTCTATCTACTATTCTTCCTCATTACCAAGGGACAATGTCTGGTTCCATTTGACCCCTGGAGCCAATAATGGGGAGAAATCACTTAGCTGAATGTATGTCATGGAAAAAACTTCCTAACAATCACCAAAATGGAATGGCTTGTTTCTGGGTATGGCAAGGGTCCCCACTCCTTGCAGATCTTCTGGCAGAGATAATGGATAATGGCAACCACCTTTCTGTATGGGGTGGCTTATGTGGCTGCCAGGGGTCCCTGCCAATTCAGTGATTCACTCCAACCCTGATGTTCTGACAGACATCACTATGTTTTGAGTGGGGTCAGTGGACAGCTGATATGGAGACTAAAAAAATTAATCCTGCTAATAGCCCCTTATTCACTGACCTATTCTAAGTGAGGATGTGTGTGGAGTTAGCAGAAAACCTTGTAATTTCCTGGCTCTTGCTCCCAAGGGACCATCTCACTACAGATACAGGCTTGGGGAAGGGAAGAGTCATTTTTGGCATCTTCTTTGCAAGGGTGGGGAAGTTTTTAACCACCTTGATCATTTATCAAGGATCTGAACTGCTGATCGGGGGTGGGAAAGATATTCTGGGCCTCCCACTGGGGCAGAGCCAGCAGTAATAGAGGACAGAAGGATGGGTAAGTTTAGGTCACTCATCAGGACCACTTCCAAATTGTGAGCCAGGCCTTGGCAGGCAGAGTGATTTGCTCTGAGTCTTATCAGCCTTCGTTAGAAGTAGGGAGAAAGAAGACTGTCTTCTGGAGGCGAGATGGTGGCTGTCAGGGATCCTTAGAGCTCTGGGGAGGCAGTACAGAGGGACACGCCAGCAGCTAGGGCGGAGGGAGAGCCAGCAGGTTGGTGCAGTTAGGATTATTCCCATACAGACAGAATCCTAGAGTTATAGAATCTCTGAGTTGGGAGGGGCCCTGGAGGCCTCTTAAGTCAGCGTGGATTTGGAACCAGAGGACGTGGGTTCCAACCCCCCACTCCCAATACTTATCTGCATGACCTCAAAAGGTCTTAGACATCTCTGGGCCTCCATTTGCTCATCTGTAAAATGGCAGTTG